CTAGCCCTTTTTCAGCCATGATTAAAAATCAAGTGACAAATGAGTATTCAATCAATCCTGTCTCCTAATATTTTTGCCATGAAATGAACTTAATCAAACCGAAAGACTTGACGGACAAACAAGTTTCTTGGCCCACCTGGTAAATCTTGACATACCTGTTTCGTTCGAAATATCAACCATGAGTTCTACAGCAAACACGACACCGCTTAAAATCCAGCCTATAATGAGACTAACAAATGCTGGCTGCAAATTTTCAATACGGAAGGCGTCAGCTATTGAGTCACGCTTAGAGACGTCATCTATAAAAATATTATTATCTCCCTTCACGTAGTCAATTGTACCTTGCATAAATGTCGGAATTAATCCCTTTTCAACATACGACTGTATCTCCTCAAGGAAATAGTTGGAGAGGAAAGAATTTTCTTGGACTTGGAGGGTCATCGGGTAAGTGAGCATGCACTCTTTGACTAGGTGAAAGTCTGAGAACTTTTCCAGAAATAATGGATCATCCACCTTGATGTTACCTCGGTACTTGTAGTACAAATTTGAAACCGCTAGCTCAATAGCGTTTGATTCCATAATTGATCGAAAATTAGATAACAAATCTTTAAAACTTTGTTTGAGTGGATCCAAAGTCTCATTTGAAAGATTTAAATTGATAATATCAGAGAGGGTCGAAGTCCCCCAAAATTCTATTGCGCACTCGTACAATATCCGTTGAAAATGGTACGGTCCTTCGATTAGTTTAGTCTTGATATCATCGTAAAATGGGTAGTCCTGGAGGAGTTGCACGGACGCTTCAAGGTCCGGTGTTTGTATCATGAGGTTCGAATCCTTCAGGTCCTCCAATGTATCTATCTCTGGGTACCGAACTTGTTTGGCCAGAAGGGTTGTCATTTGGCTCTGATACACCGTGATTATGACCAAAACAAAAATGGAAACGATTAAAAACAGTATCTTTCCGGTGAATACTCGCCCCAATAGTAGCTTTGATGGACTTCCAACCGCCAAGAACGAATACAGATAAAACAGCACGGGTGTATTGGCGAAAGCGTGTTGCTCTGTTTCCGGGTAAAGCCTCTGGAATAGCATCCATTGCGAACGGTAGAAAGCACAGAAAGCTCCGTACAGGGAGAGAACTGTCATCAGGACGAGAAACCAGGTTTGTGGCGAAAAGCAAATGAACGGTAAAAATGACTGCGGAACGAAACTGCTACGCGGGGTGGCGAAACAGTAAGAGAAGGATTGAATAGCGGCAGAGAAAACGAACATGGAGAAATCTTGGTTCGGAGATGTGCTCCCATCAAAGATGAGCATATGAAAGTCGTTTGCTTGAGCATTCTTAAAATAATCTTCTGATGCCAGATCTGTAAAAAAATTTCTTGAAGGCCCGTATACTATAATCTCACAATTCAGTTTTTTCGCGATTTCAAATGCAGCATTCTTCACGACTGCGTTTGATACAAAAGACACCTCCCCACCAGAGTGAAACGTGTTTTCTTTTGAACTGAACGCGATGTTGAGAAGTTTTCCTCTTAAATCCGGAACGAAAGTGAAATAATGATCTTCACTTATTATGTCTACTTGTGAAATGAGATCTATAAGCGGGTCATACTTGAAGCATGTGTTCCCGAAGCAAACAACTGTCCTGAGCCCCCTAAAAAAACGCCAGAAAAATTTAAAGAGAAATTTTATACGTGGGTTTTGTTTGATCGAGGCAACGAATTTGTTCCCACTTTCTAGGGTGGGCAAGAAGAATGTAATATAGTTTCTGGAGTTCCATACGCTGTTTGAAAAAAGGCTTTTGGTATGTTCAACAACAGGATCAGCTAAGAGGATTGTACCATCCAACTCAGTTTGATTGATGTGTAAGCTGAAATCGCATGTTTTGTTGACTGCCTTGAAACCGAACTCAAACAAATCGTTTTGGAAACAGTAGTGGTTCAATTTTTCAAACTTACGTGGTTTTAAGTCCACGATTCCATCGAACTTCGACGACGAGGCCAAAATAAAACTCAGAATTTCGTCCAAATCGTTTAGAATTATGATAATATTTTTAGTTGCGCCTCCGTGTATTGAATGTTGTAACGTAGAATGATGAGTGATGACCACAGTTTCAATCATACTCTCATGTAAATTTTGAATTAATTCGTGAATTGGAAAATCGTCCCTGACACTGATTACATAAAAGAGAGCTTTTCCAGACAGTTCAGTTGTCTTGTTGCACAGTGCGAGAGCACATGAGAGGAGGTACTCCTCTGCTCCATCTTTGGGCAGATAAAGGGTGGCAGAAGAGTGCGGTATAAACATAAGTCGTATAAAGACACATGAGCATAGTATAAAAATTGGATACATATTCAAAATAAGTTCAGCTCATAGAAGTGCCGCAAGCTAAAGTTAACACTCTCGATATTTTGTTCAATCAATTTTTTGTGTGGAGAGCCAGTATTCTTGAGCTTACTTGTTCCTTCCTTCAATGTTTAACGCCAATTTTCTGAGGAAAAAAAATTGATTATTTATGATTCTTAAATTTACCTGAATAAGTTGATTTTTTTTGTCTCGACACACACGCGACTGCGAAAAATTCTTTCTGGTGGATCTAATTTTTTTAGCTGACCAAGCATCCCCCTGTTTTCTTCCTAATTATCAGTCATCATGATTAGAACACTTACATGTCCTTCCAGTCACAGAAGAGGGCATCGGCAGAGGTGCTAAGAAGAGGTTCATTCATGCGCAAAGAAAACATATCACTTGTACGTTCAGAATAAAATTCTACATCAAAAGTCTCACTGCTTGATATTAGAATACTCGCCAGGACTGATCCGAAAATCTTTCGGCGCGTTCGGCCGCAAAGATCACATGAGCAGGCGTGAATACTTTTTCGCAAAAATACACAGAGAAAATAATAAAGTTTAAGTTTATGCCTAAGGACCAGGTTCTAAAGGCGGAAATGGAGTTAGTAAAAAGCTGTAAAGTAATAATATTTTTTGTTTTCGTGTTATTATACTACGGCGTTTAATACCTCTCCATTTGGGAAAGGAAAATGTGAGAAGGGTGCGTTGGAGAAAATGTACTTCACAGTATCCATGTTATACCCAGTTGTATAACGTGACAGAAAGTTCTACAACGTAAATTCTTTGGGAGAATTTGAGCGGATTATCGACATGTATCAAGGAAACACATGACTGAATTGATAAACGCGCTTTATTTCGCCAATTCAGGTCAGCGTGCAGTACTGCGATTCATATTTTTTTCAGTGGTTTTTGTCAACCAAAATATTTACTATCCCATCAGTCAAAGCGGTAAATAGCGAGACCTCAAGATAGATCGGCAATGACCTGATTTCAAACAAGTATTTTCGAGCTATAAAATGATGCTCTGTAAATAATATTGATCGAGTACAATGGATCGAGTCTATTAGAGAGGTCGGACATGAAATTTTTGACTAAAACTGCAAATTTTGATGTTTATTTCGTCACATTTAAATTTCAAGACGTGCTTATGAAAAAATCTCACGAGGAAACAAATAGAACCACATTTGGAACCTTGAAGTTTCATAGACGGAGTTATAAGCGTTTAAAGATTCCAAATTTGGTCCGATCAGACATCTCCTATTGACTCGATCCACTGTGTTGCGCCTTCCTCCTTGAGTATAGATGGGTAGCAGCTTTCACACTGAATAGTTCCTATCAATAATGATTTAAGTGATTTAAGCAAACAGAAGCAAACAGTAGGCAGGACATTTTTCGGAAAGGATACTCACTTTTTCCGAATCAATGTTCATCAATTAGGCTGTTTATCTGGTGGGTTTTTTTGGTCATACGTGTGCGCAATTTGTGTAAGTGTGAGTGAAAGTGAGGGGGTGTGTGCGTGTCTCGTAGGATATGATATATTAAAATTTCCAAGGAAAAGCCCAGATCCGTACAAACAGCAAAACTGCACGAGTTGATCACTTTTTAGAGCTTTATCTCTTCATTAACCAAGAGAAAGAAAGTTAATTTTGAAGTAAAAAGTCCATAATACTTCTACTTGATGTTATCTTGCCGAAAATTGTAACGAGTCACAACGCATTAGCATTGGTAACATGCTAACATGTGACTCTGGTTCCTTTTCAACCGTCGATTTGAAGACAGATTCAATCCTTCACTGAAAAAAAAATATTGCTGAAATTGCCGTGCACGCGGGTATTTCATGGCATGGTGTAGCTAAAAAACGAACGTGCAAACCATGCAGGTAAAATCGCTACACAAACAGCTGACTTACACACACGCGTGTATGTGATTTTGCTCTCTGAAAAGCTACGTCTGTTACCTTTTTAGTTATTCCTCCCTTAAATTTCGCTATTTTTCCGTTAATTCCGCTATTTCAGCGTAACAATTGAGCTATTTTTACTGTTCGCAAAGTACCAATACCAAAAAATGCAGTTACACTTCCAGGCCACTCGATGCAAGATTAACTGCATGAAGGCGCGCAGATGTAGCAAATCGGTGTAGCAATTCGTGCTAATCGTTCACTTGATTCAACACCGTGCACGGATAAGAAAGCTTTACGAAGTGAAGCAAATTTTGCTCCACCCTAAATCGGTGCATTAGTAATCCTTTTTTTTTTCAGTGTTGCCTTATTAAAATCAGCAACCATCCATGTATGGACGCACCTCCTCCCCATCCTATTCCGCCAATGGCGGTTTCCAAAGCAACACGGCTGCTCCCCCATTTAAATTCATTTAAAATATCGACTATTTTACATGCATTTAAATGGAGGGGAAAAAAGTGTTGCCAACTTTCAAAAATCGCCACTGATCCCTCGATATGAAAAATCACACATTAATACCACGAGTTTGGTTGCGCCTGATAAGAAAATTATTTATGTATTAATTTTCATTTCTTGCCGACGCAAGAGCACATAACTTTTGTTTTCTTTTTTATCATTAGTTTTACTATGTAACAAAATCGGTCAAATAGATACGTTACTATAAGTGAACAAAATTTTGTCTGTTACAGATTGATGTCCGACTGGCCTCATACATAAATGCAGAAACCTTTAAAACCGAAGGTATGGACATAAAACATGAAGGCGACGAACATCTCCAACCATCCGACCCGATGGTTGGCTCACCTCACCGCCCTGGTAACCTAGTTCCTGACCATCAGCCGTCCACCCACGCACAATCCAAACATTTACGCCACCCTGACATCTACGTGGCGGTACCTTCCGACGCCGCTGAGCGCCGAGCGGTACCCCCCGTGATCTGCTACCCGGTCGACACACTCCCCCGCCCGAACATCACCGCCTACCGCTCCGCCCGCGAGTCATGGACACTCACCCACCGCCTAACAGTCCCACCGCGCGACGCCGCCTGTTTCACGATCCCGAAGGGCCACTTCTTCCGTATCCGCTGCGTAGGCGGACCCCAGGTCGGCGATCTAAACCTCTTCAACGCTTACAACCTAGAGGAGCATTTCTACTCCGGCAAAACGCGCGCGCTGAACCGCACCCACGTCAGCATCGGCGACCACCTTTACTCCAACCTCCCGTGGCTCCGTCCACTCGCGACCATCACCGACGACACCCTCGCCTGGTACGGCATCGACGCCTACGGCGGCGGCGTCCATGACGTCATCGGCACGCGCTGCGACCCCTACACCCACCGCCTACTCAGCGGCGGGACCTACCACCGCTGCTGCCACTCCAACCTTACCCGCGCCTTGTCCGCCCACGCTGGGATTCCACTCGCGGAGGCGGAGCGTCACGTTCATGACGTCTTGAACGTCTTCATGTGCACGGGGTTCACGCGGGCCACCGGGCAGTATTTCATGAAGGCATCCCCGGTGAGGCCTGGAGATTACCTGGAGATGTTCGCGGAGATCGACCTCCTCGGGTGCCTGTCAACCTGCCCTGGAGGCGACTGCTCGGAGGTTCATTCTTCCGACCGGGCAAGGTGTTACCCGCTTGAGGTGGAGGTGTATAGACCTGCTGAGCCGCCGGAAGGATGGAGCCCGCCTGAGGCCAGTGGCTACGATAGGAGCCATGGGACGACTTGAGTGCACTCGTCTAAAGTGCATGTAGTCTGCTGTGCTGAGTAAAAATGCCGTATGAGCATTCAAATGTTGCCACATTGCCTCTCAGAGAATAATAATTTTTTTTTTTTTTTTTTTTTTTTTTTTTTTTTTTTTTTTTTTTTTTTTTTTTTTTTTTTTTTTTTTTTTTTTNTTTTTTTTTTTTTTTTTTTTTTTTTTTTTTTTTTTTTTTTTTTTTTTTTTTTTTTTTTTTTTTTTTTGGCTGCCCGAAGAAAAAGTGGATCAGTTAGCAAGCAAAAACCCTGGACTATCAACCGAATAATGTCAAATAGTCGTGCGGAAAACTTACACATGTACAGAGCATAAACAATGAATCTATATTTAGTCATTAACGCAATCAGGTTTATCATGATTGATATGAATTATCGTTTCGTCAACCTTACCGTATGCATGTTCTCTCAACACGAACCGTTACATATTCTTCCTCTGTAATTAAAAATTTCAACAGAAACCTTGATCCCACCCACGGACATGATCCGACCGTGTTCCATCCACGATCACACACAACGGTGCTTGACAGTGGCGTGGCGTGCTTTGCGATATATCGATTGATCGACCATTTAAACCTATGGAAAAGTATCGATAGACAAGGTGTTCGCAGCGAACACCTTAATAATCGATTATTTACCACAGCTTCAAATGGGGAAATATCGATAGATCGCAAAGCACGCCAAGCCACTGGTGCTTGATCAAAGTTTACGAAGTGCATTTCCTCATGAGCTTTGAGCTCCAATGAAATGCTTACATTCTGGGGCTAATTGAAAAATGGACATGCGTGGTTTCAACATGGGCTGTTTTAATATCATGAAAACGCCCCGCTGAAAACAAACGTGTCACATATCGACGGTGAAACTACCAAACCACGTATCTCGTTTGCGGTGTTTAAAAATCTACGCTCCTATTTTATTTTTTTGAAGTGGACCAAATCAATATCATTCCTTGAAATTTTCACGGAATTTTCTCCGCGCAAAGAGGAAAAATCACAGAAATTTTCAAGACTGGACGTTAAGTAGTTTTCCGTTTAAAAAATAAAGTATCACAGGAAGTCTGCGAAGTCGCAAACCGAGATACGTGGTTTGGTAGTTTCACCGTCGATATGATAACGAGTATCGTTTCTCTCACGAAAGAACGTAACTATGTTTCAATGTTGCCAAATTTCCTCTGGCAAATTTCGTTTCTACAAGAAGTGTCTCGGGCTTTTCTAATTGACAATTTCCCTGATTTTTCCTCTGATCTCGTGCAAAAAACATTAAAAATTTTGGACAAAAATTGCACGGGTATATTTTTTAAAAAATTGAATTGTTTTGGTCTATTTTGCAACCTTGGGATGGCGTTACGTTCCTTGATCGTCTGGGAAACGACGATTAAACCGCCGCACATTGGATCCAGTCAGTAGGAGAAGTCGGACAAAATTTGGAAACTTCAAACGCTTATAACTCTGTTAATACAATACTTTGAGGTTCTAAAAGTGGTTCCATTGGCTTTCTCGTGAAATTCACTAGGAAAAAAACACATTGGATCTGGAGTCCAGACTCTTGAAATCATTGACAAGAAAAAGGACTCTTGACTCAAGCAGATTTAAGCTTAAATCAAAAGGAAATCCGCTCAAATTAAGAGGCTTGGTCCTTGATTTAAGCTAGATTCTGATTAAATCAAGAGTATTTTTTCTTGTCGATGTTTTTAAGAGTCTGCTGGACTCTAGATCCAATAATGTGTTTTTTTTCCAGTGTTCTCCTATAGAAGCACCCCTTAAAATTCAAAATATGACGAAATACACATGAAATGTACAGCTTTAGTCAGCGATTTCATGTCGACCTCTGTGATTGAATCGATCCATAGTGCGCCGAGAGACTTTTCCGAGCGAGCTGGCAATCTTGGGAGACTCGACTGGGAACGCACCGACGTAATCCAATAAAACAATTGGTCTCGCGTTGGCGAAAAAGGAAGGATGCAAAAAAACGGACGGCAATAAAAAGGAGAATAAAAAACCGCGGAGAGATATCGATAAGAACTTACACGCAGTGAGAAAAACGTAAAAGCTAATTAAGTACCTGTTAAAAAATGAAGCGACGGGCAGGGTGGCAGGAAAGGCCGGGGAAAAATAAAAATAATAAAGTATAAAATAAAAAAAGAGCCAAGTAGCGTCGGCTGCGTCGGCCGGTGGGAGACGCGCGAGGGGTTTCATTTTAGATGTGTGCGAGGAGATAAATTCATCTACATCGAAAAGGAGGAGGAAAGAAGACCAATTTGCAGCGCATGGCTAAACTTCCCCTCCCCGCCCGCCCTCGGTGTCGTAGTGCACTGCTGCGTTCACACCGTTGTGATGGTACCGCCGACTGCACCGGGGCCCACGGCCCGCGACCCACTCCGAAGGCCCGTGGCCACCACCGTTTTCAAATTTCTATTATTTTTTTTTTTTTTAAAAAATTCATCGCTCTCTTTCCCCGTAAGTGCAACCTGAAACTTCACTGAAAAAAAAAAAAAAAAAATATGGTAACATCTATTGGACGTATTTATGCTAAATGGAACTATGTGCAAGTGAAAAGATGGGGTGTGCTCGTAAGTGGTCGGGCCATAAGAATTAGTGGGAAATATAAACCGCCAGTGACGTCAGCGGCAACGACGAGAAAAACAACGATCAACGACGCGGTCTTTAACTCATGAGCCCTGTCCTCAACGCTTTAGATACACGCCCACGGCTCTCGAGTTAGCGCTCAGTTCCTTTTGATTTAATTGAAAATCCTGCTTTTCCATTTTCTCAAAAGGAACTATATCCACTCTTACATTGTTTCTTATGCTGCCTTTACGAGCACATGCACCCCATCTTTCCACTCCGCACAGTTCCTTTTAGCATAAATACGTCCTATTTTAAGTCTACTTGATTTTTTACACAGTTATACTATTTAGTGAAAATAACCAGAATTATGGCAGTATTCACGAGAACTCTGGTGATACTTACCACAATATGGTAAATGCTACCATAAAGTCTGGTGTTTATTACCATACTCGTATCACTGTGTCAGAATATGGTGAAATCTACCATATTTTTGTTTTTAGTGTCCACTCCTCAGGACAAAAGTGAAAAATATTGCCTTTCTTGGAATTGAAATTGACGTGAATCTCCAGGATGCAATTTATGAGCCAAGAATCAAAAGATGCTATCTTCATTCCAATGTCTAAAAATTTAACAGATGTTTTAATTTCTAAGGAAGGGTGATCACTGATCAATACTGCCGTGCTGAGGAAAAACGCCTTGTAAACATTCGAGAGTCGCCAAACCTTCGATGAAATGTTTATTTTTGAAGAGAGGCATGAATATGTTCTCCTAATAATTCAGATTTAGTTGCAAAGAAAATTCTCTGAATAATTGAACGGAAAATATTCGCTCGATCTCCTGAAAATTCGTTTAATCAAAAGAAATTTGGCAACTGACGGATGGATACTATTGGTACATATACATACGTTGTTTCTAATTTGAGCCAGAACTTTTAGTTCCTGATTGCTATATGTAGTCTAAAGACTTCGTGCCTAAAATACTGTCATAATTTTCTTGCTAACATATAGAAATTTCTTGAAAAAGGATAGAAAAAAGAAACTCGCCTGCTCTTTGTGTAATAAATTAAACTGATCGCCAAAATTTTTAGACAGCGCAATGAAGATTGCAGGTTTTCATCATACACGCTTTAATTAATGACTCAAATTTTTTCTGACGACACGCTAAATTATTCATAACGCGTGTTGTGAACCTTTTATTATGGGTTCGTTGCTTACGATTTAATTGATGCATGATGGTGGTGACAGTTCTAAATCTGCCTCATACAAGGAGGTATAGGAGCCTTGATACTTTCAATGATCATACACCAAAATCATTGCTTTGCGATATATCGATTGATCTGCACTTTGAACCTATGGAAAAATATCGATGAACAGGGTGTTCGCAACGAAAACCTTAATAATCGATGCCTTACCACAGCCTCAGACGGGAAAAATCGATAATCGATCATTCACGCCTCGCCACTGACAAAAAAAGAGTGTAATGCTGTTGTGCTGAGGGAAAACGACGTAGACAGCAGTTTCAGTCGTCACCGAGTGTTATTTGATAAATACACATTTTCAGAGAAACTTGTAAATATTCTACTTTTAATTTTTTAGAGAATTTCATGCAATTAAATCTAAATTATTTAAAATTTGAAGGAATATTTTTTATACACTTTTAGCAAATACATCTTTCGCAAGAAATTGGGCAATGTTTGAATGCTTGCTTATACGACGTTTTCCCTCAACGCAGCAGAATGGATTCGACCGTCTCGTCATCAGATTTTGGTAACAAGTGAAGAGGTAGTACCTGTAATTAAAACAAATTCTGTTCTAGAAATAACCGACGAAGTGCGTATATTCTGTGAAACTTGAGACTGATGATTTATTCAATACATTTTGCAATTGCAAATTGATTGGAACTGATTGTTGTTTTATAAAATATATTTTAGAAATATAAACTTATTTTTATTGTTGCTATTTTTCGTTGCTCAAGACATTTATTCATTTCCTTGGGACCGTTTACNGGGGGGGGGGGGGGTGCCTCAGCGCACGAGGAGACTTTTCTAGATGCGACAGAAAGAAATAATAAATTGCCAAAAATTATTCTGTAATATCTTTATTAGGAGGAAAGATAGAGGAACAAATTGTATGATGTCAATTTACTCGGATTGATGAAATATTGAAAAATACGACTGGATTTCTGCGTGCGTATAAAGAAATCGCCTCATATTTTGACGAATGAGTAGAGAGCGGATAGCTTGATTTATTTCAGCAAAAACGAAGGGGAGAGCAGGAAGTAAAAATTAAAAAGAAATTATAAATTTCTGCTCATGAGGAACTTTTGTTTCATTTCAAAACAGCACTGCTCGGCCAATTTGCAAGTCCACAAACGTTGTCGCCTCTGTACACGTACCAGTAACCCTGCAACACAATGAATAATTTTTAGACGAATAAAATAACAATTTATTTGTTAAACACGCAGAACTATACGACAGATAGCATGCAAAAGTGAAGTTTGCGCTGGTTTTATCTAATTTTCAATCTAATTATTTGTAGGGAGTTTCTACTTGGACGTTTCAGAGTTTTTTTTTTTTTTTTAAAAAAAAAAATAATAATAATCAAGAAATGTACATAAATTTTTTTTACCCCTCCCTGGTCAATAATTAGATTTGGCCTCAGAGAAGTGGCTTCTACGATTATGAAATCGAAAAAACTGAAATTATAAAATTCTAGAATGGACACAGATATTGTAAAGAGAGAAAAAAGTAAAAAAAGAAACAAAATTTTCAGAATTTGATGGCGCAATAGTCTCCATTTCCCCACATGACACCATTGGGTTATGGCACATTTACGCTGTAAAATTTGACTTAATTATTACCTTATCACATTTTTCTGTGCCCCAACTGTTCTTTGCGATCCAATATGGTATACGTTTCTTCTTGTCGCCGAACTGAACAACTAGAACATAAAAAAGGACAGCAACTTATAGATGGATAGGTACATATTTAGCCAAAATTTGAGCACAAAGCGATTTTGCTTGGTCATCTTTCACAAGGACCGGGCAAAATGTAATGGAAAAAAAGGGTTGCCCATTGAAAAACATGTATCCATCCAATCCATGTATCCTTATCATATTATAATACTTGTTCTCTGCAGTACTATGAAATTCGGGCTTATTTTGTGATTTTAACGATGAGAAGTTTTTATTCTTCTGTGAAAGTATTTCAAAAAATATTACCAATCGCTTAGCAAAGAATAATACCAATGGTTAGGCAGGATCTGGACCATGAAATATTTGTGGTGCTGTAAAGATGTTATCATTGGTACGTTTTGATTCTACTTCTAACATTGTCTTCCTTGTTGCCATCAACACGATGTTGGGGAAGGAGTTATGATATTCGTATATTTCGTCCATATGCATGTATATATCACAGAAATGAACCCACATTCAGGTAAACATAGGTTTGAGTAATTTTTTTTTTCCATGCGAATCCCGAAAAATTCGTCTAAACTCAGACGAGATTATCCTCTGCCGAACACTGCCGATTTGATATTCTACTTTACTATCTCAAGAGAAACTGCAAGTTTTGTCACAGGTTATACGAAATTGACGGGTGGAAATATTTTAACTTACCTTTCACGCCGTAGCCTACCAACGCTATTCCATGGTTCACCTGTGTGCTATTTTTGGAGCACCATTTTTCAGTTGGATGGGCGATACCTCCTTTGTACCCCTTCAAAAAAGAAAGTTTAATTTTTAGAAAAAAAGTAAAAAAACCTCGAACTTTTCTTAGGCAACATTATGTTTTAATGATTAATGTTGGACACATGCATCGAGTTGTGGGATCTACTGAGGACTAATTGTCAAATCAGACATTTTGTAAAAAAAAAAAAACCTGGGTAAATAGTCAAGTATTCTCTTGCAGATTATTATGAATCTCCTTGCTAAAATTGAGGACGCAGTGTTTTTAATATGCAAGAAAAAGTGCTGTTCAATATTTTAGATCATTTTAGGACCAACTCAACGATTTTGCAATGAACAATGAGCATTTACCTTCAAATTGCTAACGTGCTTCCTGAGATATAGGATATTTACAATTTTGGCAATTTTGATGGACGCGGAAAGAATTGCTGACAAAATTTCAGAAGACGAATTCGTAGATTTTTTAATTATTAGTCTTAGAACGTTGAGAAATTGAGACCTTTTTGTCAAAATGTGATGCTATGGAAATAATCAAAATTTAATTATCTGTGCAGGCATTTGAAATTATGATTGATTTGCCTACTATCAGCCTGAAATTTTTTCTACGGACTCTTTGGATGAACTCATTGAGACTTTTTTTTTTTTTTTCTCACTGCGTTACCATTAGTTGCAACTGGTGGCTCTCATAGACTAAAGGGATAAATGATGGACTAACTAAAGGGTTTCTCGTGATTTGCCGTTAGTTAGTCCATTACCTACCTCCTTCGTCCATTGCAACCACCCGCTTCCACCAATAGGATCCCTCCATACCCCTCCTGTCTTATTTGTCTGTAGATTTGTCTATCAATTTCAATAATCAGCCCGCAAGCCGAGAAAAAAGTAACTGGAAGTAACTTAAAGTAACCATTAACACGGAAATTTTTAACAGTGCCGACTTACACCCATGGCCCTGGCATCAAGAGCAATGGAGATAGGTCCGTTCTTGAAGAGGTAAGCCATCATTTTCTTCTCGTTCGTCGGTAGCATAACGTTCTTCTCGACCTCGGCTACGACTTTCGTTTTATCAAATTGGCACACTTGATCAACCGCCATGTACGGATATGAGTCCTCGTCCTGTAATCCTCCTGCCTCCGCTAAGTATTCAACTGCTGATGCCATCCATCCACCCCTACATCCGTCGGAATTCTTTTCGCAGTCAACGAGCTCTGAAAAAATAACCCAAAATGGATAACATAGTAAGAAAAACTAACCAAAATGTTTATTTATATCGGAAGTAAAATGAATCAGTGAGAACGAAAACACACCAAGTCGGTACCTCGAAAATACTCACTTTATCACTAAGGACAGACAATGCTCATACACGTCATTGGAGTTACCGTATCTGTTCCAACTTGGACATTTAAAGTTTCTTCAAGTACTTACTTTTAGGCGCCAGAAATATTTTTCTTAGAAGAACTTCTTCACATTATTTGCAGTTTTGTGTGTGTCTTGATTATTTTCATTTTTTCGAGTTGGTATGTTTTCGTTCTCACCGATTCAAATACGAAGTAACACAATTCTTTTTAAAGGTAGTTTTCCAGGTGTCTAGTCGACCAATTGGACATATTTCTCTACTTCACGGAACTATTTACCAGCGGGAAAGATGGGGTGCGCTCTAGAAACCTGCATTAGAAACAATGTAAGAGTGGGCGTGATTCCCCTTGGCGAAATGGAAATGCTGTATTTTAAATTCTATTCAACAGAACTAAGTGCCAACTGTATATGCGACACTCATGAGCCGTGAGCAATGGAAAAGAGCGTTGTGGACAGGGCTCATGAGTTAAAAACGTCCACGGGCGACACGGAGGCGGCTTCGTCACCTCTGACGCCACTGGCGCTTTATAATTCCCATTCATGCTTATATTAATGATATATGAAATTAATAATGGGTCTGTTCTACGCAAAAGATACAGCCACGTTTAAAGACTTTTGAAGGGTAAAATGGCACGAAAATTTTAAAGAAAGAAACTTCCCGTAATATACAGTACATTGCCAATATGGTTGCTATTAACATTCTACACCGATTTGCTCCAATGTACAAACATTGCTGCATGACATCTCAACTATCATAAGGCATAAGCATCAACTCTTCTCCCTCAGGAAATGCTAAAATAAGCACAGCAAATAGGTAACGACGAGTATCATGCTCTATACACGGAAAAGGGATGAACTGCTTAGAAGTACGAATAGTTGACGCACAGTAGTTTTGCTACTTCTCGGAAAGGAACACATGTTGATTAATTACTCTCCTAGGTGTCTCAATCTGAGTTCTCCTTCAATAGCCATGACGGCAATGTGAGCTACTTAGAAGCTCGAATAGTTGCGTGCAATATTTTTGCTACTTTTGTTCAGCCTCGGAGAGGAAATTTGTTTCCCTGTGTCAGTGTTTTCAAAATACATTGATTGATTGCTTATCTTATTAAGTGTCTCTCAATCTGAGTTCTCCTCCAATAACCGCGATGGCAATGTGAGTGACTTAGAAGCACGAATAGTTTCACGAATAGTAATTTGCTACTTCTGCCCCATTCCGTAAAGGAATGCACGCGTTGATTTGTCCGTTGCAGGAAAGAGATATAGCCGTGTGAGTAGACTTTGTAGAGGTAAGATGAAGCGAAAATTGGGATGGTCGCATTCAAACAGTCTAAGATCTTTAAATATTCTATTAATTTCTCGCAATCAGCTTAACTTACCTATTGCATAGGTATGCATAAAATTGTCTGGAAATTCAAGTAAAAGTGTCTCATTTAGATTTTTGTCTTTCAATTCTCTTTCAAAAATTCAATTTTTCAATCTTAAATGTCTACACCTATTTCAAAAACTCACATAATTCATTTATTTCTTAAAATCTGCGCCAAGCTATTTGAATAATTTTTTGGAGGGAAATCTAACTTACGTTGCTCAGATAAATTCACCAATTTCTTGTACTTGTTGAAATAAAGTCCTTCGATATTAGCAACAGTAGAGAAAGCCCAGCAAGAGCCACAAGCTCCCTGAAAACATTTGAAAAATTGATTTAATTTTAGCACAACGCAAAAATTTAATTAGAATAATATCTGCGTGGGTTACAAAATGGAGCATATAGCATTCCTTGGATCATATGGCTATGATGGAATCCGGTCTTTTCAAATGTTTGATTCCTTTGGTCCCATCACCATCTGAACTAAAAATGGTAATAAAATTATGAAACTAGAAACGAAATTTCTTATCAGAAAGTTGTATTACAAACCTGGTCCTTTATTGGAGTAACCCCTCCTTTTTCCCTCCAGTCGAAATTCTTCGGAGCTTTTACGTGTTTCAAACTAGGGTCGTCATATTTTTCGCCTAGCCGCTTTTTGTAGGAATTAATATTCAGTGTCAACATCTTATTACTGAATTCCTCGACTGAAAATGAGAAATAAAAATGAAACACTTAATGATGTGAGATTGAAACACTAGAGTACGGTGAAGAAAATATGAGATAAAATTCGTCTTGGATTCCAGTAAAATCTACTAGATAATCAGATAATTTCATTAGAAATTAGATAATTTTACAGTACTATAAAACTAATCAGGTTTTATATATAAATATTTTTTTTAAAAAAAGGGGAAAGTAATAAAAAAAGGGGTAGTTTTGGGAATGGTGAGAGGTATTCCTGGTCGCACAGCGGCCTAAACTCTTTGGACGCCGTTCAGCTGAAATGCTTCAATGATACGAAAATGAATAGCCGAGTTTCAGACTATCTGTATTTCGAAATATGTAATTCTTCGAGTTTCATAACCTAGTCCTTTCATTTCTCCAAAAATTTCAAATCAGACAGGAGTTCTGATAGTTCAAAATTTGCAGCTCAAAACACTTAGCTGCAAGAAAAAACGAAATAGGTCATTATTGATCCAACTTAATGCAAAGAGAAATTCCTATGCTAACGCCATCTGAGACCCCGGAGGTCTCCAAATATCCCTCCACAATACGCGACTTTTTCGGAAGGCTTGGGATTAATTTTTTTCTAATTTTTCAAAAAAATTGAAACCCAATTTGAACCAAAGTATCTAAAAACTATAGGGAAAAATATTCATAACTTTTCTTAAAAATTCATCTCATTTCCATGACAATTTGACCAAATCCGAAAACCATACAGCAATCAGGAACCACAATCTCTGGCTCATTTTAAAAACAACACATGTACCATTAGTTTCCCAATGTAGATAAGTGTTTTTATCTATGTGTCAGAGATTGTAGTTCCTTATTTCAAAAGTTTCACTGGAATCTTACCTGTCATATCCGAAAACTCATCGATCCCGTAGACGGCTGTTCCTTGTTCCTCTGCGTTCATTGCATCATACCGTTTCAAATTTTCTGAGAAAATTCTCAGTCTTTCTTCTTTCTCCTTCAGATTCTCGTATCGTTTACCGTATTCTCGAGTAAACTCATTGAACAATGATTTTACCGCATTGGCATCAAGGGACCCATAGTATACTTTCTGAAATGAATACCAATTGCATTGGCTATGAAGAAGGTGGGTGATTTTCAGTTTTCTGTCAAAGATTAATTTAAACCTATTCTTACACCTATTTAAACAATTTTTTTTAATTTTTTTTAATTCTCTAAAGTCTTCTGTAAAGAAAACGCAGCGTGCAGGAAAAATGAATTTATCACCTGGTATACTACAAAAAATTATAATATAATGTACTCTTCTCTCAGATTGAAGATAAGTTGAGTCCGTTGACCAGTAGATCGAGACAAATGAGATTTCAACTTAGAGGTACTTGTATTTATTTGTAGAGATTTCAAGGCATAGTCACTTATTTAGAGTCATTTAGAATTTGACTCGATTTCATTTGAATGAGGATACAGAATATGCTCATTTTTAACAATGTATATAATAGAAAATAGTGTAGATAAGCATGTGAGCGATTTTTAAGCATTTATGACTGTTCCCGGGTAAAAGGGTCTCGTTAGTTCGTAGAAACATAAAATTGAGTAATTGATACCAGAATATACACAGAACAATATTGTGGATAAAATACGTCCAAAAATAAGTAACCAGAGTGGAGTTACGGTATTTCAAAGTTTGCAGTTTAAAGAACGTAATTTAGAGTGGCAGTCAGCAGAAATTTTAATACGAGTATATCATGCTCAATAAAGCACATTACAGGACGACACTGAAACTTCGCATCCTTTATAATGTAACAAAAAGAAACTGGACCTCTCATTTTATTCCTCACAAATCTTACGTCAAAATCTAATAAATTTCGTGTCTATCTGACTCAACAAAAACCTATGACTTGAAATTTTGCTTAAGATGATCAAATTTTTTTTGAAAACCACGCGCAATTGCGCCTGTTAGTGTCAGTGGCGTGACGTGCTTTATGATATATCGATTGATCTCCCATTTAAGCTTTTGGAAAAGGGTCGATACAACTGAATAATCGATTCTTTATCATAGCTTCAAATGGAGAAATATTTATAATCGATCATTCATGCCTCACCACTGGTTAGTGTTAGTGATTAGAATAGTTAGTGATTTTAGAATGCTCACCTGCGGTGCTACAGGGGGCAAATACTTTACACCAGCGGAAGAAAAGGTGGTATCGATCACAATGCAAAGAACCAAAATAGAACCTAAACAAAGTCCTAAGGGTGCCATTTTCACCACTGTAAAATTCGCTTAAAAGTCTCACTACTAGAGTAAGTGAATTAAAGATTCTGCGTAACCTATATAAACGCGCATACACCGTCACAATCAACGCACTATTGTAATCATCGAGTGTTTTGATATAAATTTACCCGGTATGAGAAAGCCCTCGTTGCTAATCTAAATTGGAATATTTACGTACTTTACATTGAATTATAGGTAGAAATTTAAGTATTTCTCCGTAAATGTGTTTCACGCGGTCGAGGTGCTGCACTCATTCGATATCAAGACATGATGACGATAACTTTTCACGGAAGTAATTGAGTCTCATTGAGTCGGAAGTACTCAAGCTCAAGATTTCTCGTAAAAAATTTATCTTGTTGATATTTGCCGAACGACTGAATCAAGTTATGAATCTTCTCGTTTCATCCTTGTTTTTGCGCATTAAAATCTTCACAAATTTTTGAATATTTATGCGTCACCCTGCAACCGCCCTGCTTAGATTTTTTGTGCTGAAGTTGAGTTTTTCTGTTTCTAATGATGGCGTATCACTTCTTGGAATGGCCAATGGACCTAAATTGATTTATTCTTTAAATTACCTTATTTAACCCATATCCTGATTCTCCTCAACTCTACTAGAAGGTTACCTCCAGTGACGATTCCTTCATTGGATCCTCAAGGAATCCTTAAACTTTGTGATGATTGACCTCCGAATATAATATGTATATACCTCGGGATTTTACCGAGGTCTCTGAGAGATCTATTTATACCTACTTCTTAAAATATTGTTTATCCGCGTCATTGAAGTCACACTTTACTCAAATTCTCAGTATGTGAGACGGAGGTGTACTGTTGGTTTGTTCATTCCTTTTATTTCTTTTTTTCCTCTTTTTTTCTGACATACATAAAAAAAACGTGAAAATAGGCTTATTTTAAGCCGTGCATATTTCATGCTGTTTCAGGGATATTTTTTCGACGAATTCTGCGATTTGAGCCTAGAGAGGGGAGAAAAGGAGGGAAGGAAAGATCACGGGGCGGGTAAAGATAGGAGGGGTTCGTTTTGAAAGAGCCTCCCAAAAAGTGGCCCCTTTTTTGAAACTCGGGGATTTCATTCGTATGTGGCTAAAATGAAACCTTATGGTGAGACAAGCCTCCAGTAAAAATTTTAGCTTGAGTATACGTCTAGTTTCCGAGATACAGCGTTGCAAAGTTTGCATACTTAAGCTTTAAAAATTCGCATATTTTCAAGTATCTTATTTTCGAAAACACCTCCATCGGACATTTTATGATATTTTGTGACATTTAACCAACAGTTAGTCTTATTATTGAATGCATACATCTATTGATACAATAATACTGCTAATTCTCTTGATACAACGTTGCAAAGTTGACACCA